TTGAAAAAAAAAAAAAAAAAAAAAAAAAAAAAAAACACCAGATGACTTGAAAAGCTCTATTTGGAAAAAAATTATAATAATCAATGATTGGTGTGATTTTGTAGGTGAGTAAATCAGAAATTGAATAATCAAATGTAAAATAACACAGCATAGTCTTCACTGTATACATTAAATCTAATAAATCTGTGTTAAAGCTACAAAAGGGATTTTTCTCAGTTTTTTTGTTGTCTGATTAATATTCATGACACAGAAAGCCTTAGGAACATTAAACTGCTGTGAATATATATATATATATATATATATATATATATATATATATATATATATATATATATATATTTTATATAGTCAAAAACACACAACAAATTACTAAAACTTTAATTAAAATTAAAATGAAAACAGAACATAAAAAAACTAATTCAAAACCTTTATAAAAAACAATTTCCGTATTTATTTAGTTGAACCTAATATACTAAAACAACTAAAAAGTACTAAAAATGATACATTCTTTAAAAACAAAAACTAATAAAAAAATTACAAAAGCACATCAAATTACTAAAACTACTAAAAAATAAAGCAGAAAATATCAAAATAAAAACTAATTAAAAATATGAATGAAAACTATAATAGTATATCAATGATTCTAAAATAACACTGATACAGCGAAGTTTTATTTTACGCTACTTTAAAATAAACAAACTTAATGATACTGATATGATATACTTCACATTTATAACCAATTACCATGTAAAAAAAAAAGAAAAGAAAAGGATATTGGCATGGAATCACTTGCAGAAAACCACGGTAGTACTACAGTACTTCTTGTAAGCATATGCACCAAATTTAGAAATGCAAAAAGAGCGGAGAAACTTACTGGCGTTACACTACTGCACTACAGTATTGCAGAACACCAATGTAAACAAGCGCCTGCACAACACTAATGAAATATGCTGCTGTATAACGCAGAATGACAAGCTCCTGAGATATTTCTGAGGTTTGATTCTGGGCGTTTGTCTGTATACAAATGCGACGGGTGACACCTTCATTCTGAACATACTTCAGCTCCATGTTCACAGGCCTGTTAAATGCATTCCTCACATTCAGAACAAAAACATACTCAAACGGCATGAAAGATGCACTATTACAGATTCAGCTCAATAAGGCGGTTTATTAAAACCCTCTGTGATGTCATCGGCCAGCGCTTGACTAATTAGGCGGATGTGTGTTTATAATAGGAGGCTTGATCCTGCAGCTCTATTGTGGATGGCGGGAAATGGAATGTTACATTGTAACAATGACACTTTCACCCATACCAGATGAGTCACAGGGTTTTTTGATGGTCGCCGTGGCAACATCACAGATGATTTAATTAACAGACGATTAGGGTTGGGTATCAAGAACCGGTTCCATTTTAGAACCGGTTCCAAATTTCCAATAATCGGGGTATTCGATAAGACGTGCATTTCGATTCCGCTTAACGAATCCCGCGTTCGCATTTTAATGTGATTTTAAACTATTTAAGTGCAGGAAGGGAAAGCACTTGCACACATCTGAAGCGCGAGCACAGAGAACAGTGGTCCCGATGCAGGTTCCCCACCCGTGTCCGTTCTCCAACTGTTCCGTGCAAAGCTTGTTCCGGGCCAGAACTGACGTCTCGTTCACATTTATCGACCAGTATGCACGAAATACGTCGGTATATCATCATAAACACAGCCGTTTTTTGTCTTAAGTGAACGTAAACAGATGAGAAAGAAAACGCATGAGTAACAGTATTTTCAGATCTGTGTGTGTTCGGTGTTAAAGAGACATCCGTCTAATAAACGTGCTGCCTATCATTAATGTTAATCAAAGAACAAAAGAAAATCATTAACTGACTGAATGTCTTTCGTAAATGTAATATTTTATTTATGAAAAGAAAACTATACCGTGTTTTTTAAACTTTTGATTTCAATTTCTGTACCTGACATTTGTTCAGTTTTATTCATTTATGCTATTGCTGATTAATTTACTTGTCTTTAACAATTTAATGTTTGAAATTTATATTAGTCTAGTTGTTTTTTCTGTGGTTTTATCAAAAAAATACCATAGACATAAAACAGAATAAATATGTTTGACATCTAAATATTTGACTTAAAATTTGTTTAACGGATTTTTTTATGTTATTGGAATCGGAATCGATAAGCAGAACCGGAATCGATCAAATTCAAACAATACCCAACCCTACAGATGATTGACATGATGCACAATGAAAGTTATGAAAGAATGCGTTCGAGGGTGGTGCCTGTGTGTTTGATATCACTCGAAATAAAACAGCAGGAAACATTCCTCACATCAGCTCTCATTCTCACAGATTTCCACTGAGACAACAAACCTTGTCCAAACACCTGAAGGAATCCACAAGTTTGGACTTTTGCTTGATCTGCATTAGTGCTGTAAGAAACACAAAGTTCTACAAGCAGGTTTCATTAAAGATACATATTGATGGCATTATTTCATGCATGCTACTTTGAAATCAACTAAATGACACTAATATCATATACTATTCTATTGGCATTGTACTTCAAATATAACAAGTTACCATGGTAAAAACAACCACACACATGCCAAAAAATATTGCATTTCTATTGCATTCTATTGAATTGTAAGTTCTACAAGCAGATTTCATTAAAGACGCAGCTGATCTGTAAGCTCACATCGGTAGTGATGCAAACATTCACTGGCAATCAGGAGCTTGGACACATTATGGAATAATACTACTAATAATAAAGCCATCGAGTTATGAAATAACAATATGAAAGAATAATACGGAGAAAAAAAGTGATTAAATTTAGTTGCATTAACATATGATGAGTAAATAAATGTTGGTTTGTAACGAAACATCACAAATATATTTGTCAAAAAATCTAGTCTTGTATTAACAATTAAGATCAAATTTACATTTCTGCATTTGGCAGAGGCTTTTAGCCAAAGTGACTTGCATTCAGGGTATATATTTTTAAAGCATTTTTGGGAATCGAACCATATGATCCTTCTATATCTACTATTGCCATTAAATAAAGATTTTAATAAATATGTAGGTTTGTAAAGGAAACACATCACAAATACATATGTCTAAAGATCAATGAATTTGCTGGGAATCGAACCCATGACCTTGCATTTACTTGATGTTTTTCATTCAATAACTTCTACAATCATTAAATAAATAAACAAATAATTACACGTAGGTTGTAAAGAAACACCCACAAATTTATACAGTATGTCTAAAAATCGATGCATTCCCTGGGAATCGAACCCATGAAAAACTTGACGTTTTTCCCAAGATATCTCCTACAATAAAAGTAGGTTTGTAACAAAATGAGTCAGAAATATATTTGTCTAAAAATCTAATTTCAAGGATTTAATGAGACGTTTTCAGATGAAAAAAAAAAAAGATTATTACATTTACATATTTAGCAGTTTTTATCCAAAGTGACTTATTGCATTCAAGGTATACTTTTTTGGGGGGAATCAAACTCATGACTTTGCCTTTGCTAGAGCACTTCATGATGTTTTTTCTTCAATATCTTCGACAATCAAACAAACTAATAAAATAAATGTAGGTTTGTAAAGAAAGAAAAAAATCAATGCATTCCCTGGGATTAGAACCCATGACCTTAGCGTTTCTTAAGCACTTGAGTTTTTTCCTTCAGTATCTTCTACAATCAATCAATCAATAAATGAATGCAGGTTTGTAAACAAACACATCACAAATCTATATACGTCTAAATATCTATTCATTCTCTGGGAGTCGAACCCATGACCTTGTCATTGTTAGAGCACCTCATGTTGTTTTTCCTTCAATATCTTCTACAAACAAACAAACAAATAAAATAAATGTAGGTTTGTAAAGAAAAACACACCAAATATAGTAAAAAAAAATCAATGCATTCTTTGGGATGAGAACCCATGATCTTAGCGTTTCTAGATCACTTAAATCAGTCAATCAATAAATTAATGCAGGTTTGTAAACAAACACATCTCAAATGAATATTTGTCTAAAAATCCATGCATTCCCTGGGAATTGAACCCATGACCTTGCCAATTATCTACAGTTTGAGCTCTAGGAATGCCAAATCGTAGCTTATGCAAATAAATTCCAAAGTCCACGCGTTTGCCTGGTCGTGTAATCAATCACAGTGACACAAATCACTCATGAATAATGTTGATCTGTCATGCACCGGTGAGAACATTAATGAGTCAAACGCTGTAAATCATTGCGTAACAAATCTCACAATGACGCATTACTGCTCAAGTCATGAATTCATCAATGTCTGAAGGAAAGTTTAAAGGGAAAAAAAACCTGCATAGGTTGTTTTCAAACCCTGAGCTAGAAGCTTCTCCAAAAACACATGCTTTAAAGATAAGCCTGCTATTTTATACAACCCGATCGATATGAATGATTCCTGACATACAGTAACAACAGTGAGTCACCGGGGCAAAAACAGCCAACTAAAGCTCACCAACATTTTTCTTGTTTTCTCTAATTATCAAGCCACAATAGAGCCGCTCCTGCCGCTATTGTTCGGTCTGTCTGTGAACACCCAGCACATCAATACTTCCTTCTAGTTCTGCTGGTTTGAGGCCCGTTCTCGAGTGAAAAGAAGGAATCTGTCCTGTTAAATACCAGAGCAATAAGCACTTTCACCTCTCGGGCGGATCGCATTCCTCCTGCCAGGAAACAATTAATGCAGTGTCAAGATCTAGAAACACTCCGGGCATCGTAATCATTTAATGATTACTGTAACAGATGCGGCTCGACGGGTCTGATCTCTCATGTTGACACTTCACACAAACAATTTACAAGAGCTCAGGTTACAGACAGCCTGATCGATAATTATCAAACACAAATGCATGACTTTAAACCTCCCGTATAGAAAGTACTACGCTGATACCCCGGTACAGTGATTGTAATGGAAGCCAATGCAATGGTGCTTTCATATAGGATTGATATATGCATATACCATGGTATTTATATACACAATACCACAAGGTACTTCACAGATTACCATGAAATTACTACATGTTCAAAGATTAAAAAATTATGGAATTACTATGGCACATACTGTATGTGTATAAACCATAATAACCATTTTTCACACTTGAAATCAAGCAGTAAAAAACATTATTACAAGATATCACAATGGTAAATGCCTATAGAGCATGGTAATACAATGGTAAATATGATTCTAAATGGTAAGTATGATGAACACACACACACACACACACACACACACACACACACACACACACACACACACACACACACACACACACCCATATTTCTATACACACATATATATATAAAAAAAATATTTAGTTTGAACACCCAGCACATCAATACTTCCTTCTAGTTCTGCTGGTTTGAGGCCCGTTCTCGAGTGAAAAGAAGGAATCTGTCCTGTTAAATACCAGAGCAATAAGCACTTTCACCTCTCGGGCGGATCGCATTCCTCCTGCCAGGAAACAATTAATGCAGTGTCAAGATCTAGAAACACTCCGGGCATCGTAATCATTTAATGATTACTGTAACAGATGCGGCTCGACGGGTCTGATCTCTCATGTTGACACTTCACACAAACAATTTACAAGAGCTCAGGTTACAGACAGCCTGATCGATAATTATCAAACACAAATGCATGACTTTAAACCTCCCGTATAGAAAGTACTACGCTGATACCCCGGTACAGTGATTGTAATGGAAGCCAATGCAATGGTGCTTTCATATAGGATTGATATATGCATATACCATGGTATTTATATACACAATACCACAAGGTACTTCACAGATTACCATGAAATTACTACATGTTCAAAGATCAAAAAATTATGGAATTACTATGGCACATACTGTATGTGTATAAACCATAATAACCATTTTTCACACTTGAAATCAAGCAGTAAAAAACATTATTACAAGATATCACAATGGTAAATGCCTATAGAGCATGGTAATACAATGGTAAATATGATTCTAAATGGTAAGTATGATGAACACACACACACACACACACACACACACACACACACACACACACACACACACACACACACACACACACAACCATGTTGCTATACACACATATATATATATAAGAAACATATTGGTATTATAGATATTACGATATTATCATAGTATATTTCCAAGGAGATTACATATATTTGATTTATTGTTTATATACAAATAACATGATCCTAAAACCATTATAGATGCAAGGTAATGCCATGTTTCTTATAGATAGCCTAGTATTACCACAGTAAATGTCATACAACTTTCTACTGATATTTGATTAAAATTAATATATATATATTTTTTTAAATATTAGGCAACTATTTCAGTTAGTACTATTTGTGTAATACAAAATCGCTTTAAAAGTTACTAAACTTGTTAAATCTGAAACAACAGCAGCTCACATTTCATATTAAACATCAAAAATGATAAATATCTTTACCTCAGGCGCACTTTGACCTGCTGATCGCACATGAGCACTCACTGTCGCGTCGCAGATGATCGATAATCGATCTATTAAAGCACTTATGGAGTAAATGGAGCGTCAAGTGAAGTAAAGAGAGTTTACCGTTGAATGTGGAGCAGATCAGTGTCCTCTCGTGTCTCTCAGGTGTGTGTGTTTGTTCCTGCTGAAGAGCGCGGTGACTTTCACACCTGGGCGGGTCACCTGTGCACGTGTGGGCGTGGCCTGAGACACGCCCGTGAACATGAGCCACGCCCCTCCAGCCGCATTGAGAAATAAAGCCTTATCCCTCACCATATTTGGGAATCTTCTTGGGCTCAAATGATTCTGAACTATTTAAGGAATTTTGAATGAGTTCTAGAATCAGATCCGTTTATATCCAGTCCTTCAGGATCCAATAAAATGCATAACCCAACAATATTATGAATATAATGAAGAAATGTTAGAAAAAAAGACAAAGAATAAATGATTGGATGCTTTGGGATTACTTCTGTAAGATGCCCTTATTCATTCATTAAACCGAAAACCAGCACTAGAGAAAAACAAGACCAGAATTCACGATAATAATAAATAATATTTAGAAATTATTGTTTATGAGTAGTTTATAACAACACATAATAATAAACATCATTTTTATTTTTATTATTTAAATATATATCTTTATATATAAATCACGTCAGTAATAACAAATATTGGTATGAGCCACTTTAAAACAAACAAACAAACAAATAAATAAATACTTCCATAGACTTCCAATGAACATAGACATTTGTCAAAGCATTTGTGTTTAAAGAATTTGTATTTATTTAATTTTGATGTTAAGAAAATAAGGCCAGAATTTAACACATAATAATAATAATAATAATAATAATAATAATAAATCATACAAGTAATAAAAAATATTGGTATAAGCCACTTTAAATAAAACAAACAAATAAATAAATAAACAAATAAAAATAAATAAATAAATAAAATGAAACCATAGACTTCTAATTAACATACAAATTTGGCAAAGCCTTGTTGTTGTTGTTGTTGTTATTTGGTTCTAAGTAAATAAGGTCAGAATATAACACATAATAATAATAATAATAATAGTAGTAATAAAATATACTAAATAAATAAATAGACTTCCAATAAAAGTACATGCATTTTTGTTCAAAATAATTTTCTGTGCTAATCGCATGCACAAAATATTCATTTTATTTTAAGTTATTGTTTGGTTTTAAGTCTAGCTTAAATGCCTGTTTAAAAGAATAAAATAAACATCTAACAAGTCAACATGCATGTCTATGATGAATCAGTGCTGACAGAGCATTAGTTCAGCAAAATCATCTTTACTGACAAATCCGCCACTCAAACACACGCCATTGAACACTAACAGATCAGTTTATTAATTCTGTCAGGCTGTGTGACCCTGACCCTCCACCACACCCACGCTCGCGGACTGACCTGACGGCGTGTTTCTGCATTATTCGTACGTTACTGCATTACTGCATTACGTATGAAGTCACGCCGCTTTTCCTGCGTGCCACAGCGGGGAGTGGATTCCCAGCATGCCTTTGGCCAACATGCTGAAGAAGGAGGGAAAAGAAGAAGTCAGTGAAACCTATTGTGCTTTCAGAGTATCTGTGTCTTTCGCTTAAAGCATGTCGTCATTCACTTCATCATGTTCAGACACATATCAGGTTATTCCCCCGTTTAACAGAATATTAGGCCATAAAAGCACCATAAAAGCTCTTTGCAAATCAATCGGACTTGATGTAAAATAGTAGAACTCAATAGGATTTGAAACAGTAAAATCATAATATATTCATATGGGATGTCATATAAACAGTATAAGAATCAGAATATTTCTGCTATTTATTTTAATGGCATTTACTACAATATGTGGGTATTTTAGGGTAAAAGTTTTGAATACCACGGTGGATTTTTACAAATGTATTTAGGGCCAGAATTACTTTGTTTACACTTGTCTGAAAACAAACAAACAAAAAAAACATCAAAGGTTATTATGGTTAACTAAAACTAAAACCATAAAAAAATGCATTACTTAAAATAAACGTTAACTGAAACAAAATAAAATATTAAAATCTATTTTTTTATATTAAACTTTTTATATGAAACTTACTTTATGGCAATTTTCATTTAATAAAATAACTAAACAAATAACAATGAATAAATACTATATAGATATAAAAAATATATATATAAAATATAAAATTATAAAAAAAATTAAATGACTAAATTACTCAAACTAACTCAAATTAAGGTGAAAACTGAGAGTATAAAAATAAAATCTATTTCAAAATATTAACCAAAAGTGAATGATACTAAACTAACTATGAAACACACACACACACTATAATCCAAACAACATATAGTAATAAGGCATGAATGTGCTTCTTACATAAACGGATCATGAACCACACTAAAATCTAAACAACATATCTAGTCATAAAGCATGAATGTGTTCCTTACATAAACTGATCATGAACCACACACATGCGTTGATGAGGCATGTCGCTGTGCTGAGTGTGTGTGTGTGTGTGTGTGTTTTCTCGCAGGAGTTCCTGGGTGGATCTGAGCTGACAGACAGACAGTGTGACAGCGAGGGAGACGCACGCTGACGTCAGATTCACAGCTCAGAGCTCAAGCACGTCTGTGACGTTCTGTACAGGACCGGCCCGCTTTGGGCGTCTCACAGTTTTCAGTAAACCTGAAGACATGCTGCAACTCAATGGGACCTTGCTGGTTAAATAAAGGAAGATAAACATGCATGCACACTTAAAAATAAAGGGGCTTTACTATGCCATAGAAGAACCTTTTTGTCTAAATGTGACCCTGGACCACAAAACCAGTCATAAGGGTCAATTTTTTGTAATTGAGTTTAATACATCAGAATAAATAAGCTTTCCATTGATGTATGGTTTGTTAGGATAGGACACTATTTGAAAATCTGGAATCTGAGGGTGCAAAAAAATCTAAATATTGAGAAAATCATCTTTAAAATTGTTCATATGAAGTTCTTAGCAATGCATATTACTAATCAAAAATTAAGTTTTGATATATTTACGCTAGGAAATGTACAAAATATCTTCATGGAACATGATCTTTACTTAATATCCTAATGATTTTTGGCATAAAAGAGAAATGTATAATTGTGAACTATACACTGTATTGTTGGCTATTGCTACAAATATCCCCCAGCGACTTAACACTGCTTTTGTGCTCCAGGG